AAATTTTCGCGGAAATATTTTTCGTTCATCTTCTTGGAGAAATTCCGAAAGACGGATTTAGCATTTAAAAATCGGATTTTGACAGTGGGAATTCCCGGAATTTCACGTTTTGAAATTTCGAGTGTTATTTTTCTCTACCGAAATTTCCGAAATTTGTTCTGCAAACTAATCTGTATATGACCCTTCAATTGCAACTACCGGGCAGTTCACTTATTAAACGGAGAACTCCCGGTCTCATAGTAATCTCGAAAGAGACCTAGTCATATTACCATTCAAATTCGTTTTATGATTTCATTGATTAATTATCTCGTATTTTTTTCATTAATTAAATTTATTGATTAAATCGTTAATTATTTTGTTACGAATTTTCTGAATTGGTTCCGGGAATTTATTTTCGGGTTTTTATTAGGGGTCTATAGTCCAACAAGTGGGACAGGGGATTGTAGGTGTATTGCTTGATTGTTCTACCCCTATTCCCACTCTCCCTACCCCCCGTGTTCTGTGATTACCGGGACTTCTCAAGTACCGCATCGGTTCAGACTGATGTCGACGGAACAGGACACCGGGGCACTGCCACGACACAGTGCCAGAATCGCAGTTCGTGCCCGCCCTGCAGTACCTCCAAGACCGAAGAAACTCAGCAGGCGGACGACTCCAGCAGCATCAAGTACGGCATTGACGATACAAGACACCACCGGAGATCATCCCGCATACCCAGTCCGAGGAGCCAATGAGCCAGCGGCTGATTATCGTGGGCGGCTACTGGCATTTACGGAAGCCGTAGCTGCCGTCGAGACCCGGAAGGAGACAGCAGAGGCAGAACGTCAGCGGCTAGCCAATGAAGCGGCAGCCGAAGCTCAGCGAACGACTGAGACTGRCGCAGAGACACGAGACAGACGGAATGCCAGCAGCACGGAGTCCTTGATTGCTTGTGAGCATCAGTGGACGACGATACTCCAAGACATGATCTTTGTGSCTACAGAAGCGCAKGCAGACCCGACACCGGCGGAGGCAGAGAGAAGTAACCTGGCTAACTTGCTGCTGGGCATGATGAGAGGTATTATGTGGAATAATACACTGCTGCATTCACATCTGCGCACGGACGCGACGCAACGACAAACATACAAGAACGATATGACTGCGTTAACAACTTCTATCCGCACAGAGGCAACGCAGCAGCAGCAACTGCATCATCTGTTGAATTCCACTATCACACGCGTCAACATCATAGCGGCTAACGCCTCAGCAGCGCCAGGCTGCACGACAGACGTAACGAAGCAACTCAACGAGCGCATCGATCACGTCGTCACCATCATCGGCGACATAAGTACTTTCAACGGACCAGACTCGATCAGCAGCACGGTGGCCGCCATCAAGACGGACATCACCAAGCTACACACGAGACCGGAAGCCGCTACAAAGACGTTCAAGATGCCGCACTTCGACATCAGCAAGTTCGACGAYTACAACAAGTCGGACGCCTTGTCATGGTATCAACGCTTCCTCACGGAAGCATCATGCCGCATGGTCCCGGCGGACGACATGTTGAAGGCACTATATCTGCAGCTGATTGGAGGAGCGC